ATTAACCTCGCTGTGTGAGGCACCACTGTATAGTGGAATCAAAATGCCTTCTGACTCCTTCCAACTCTCAGAGATTACAAAGGAGCTTTCATGCTGCATTTTCCTCTCAATACTAGAGTCACTGTGTTTATTCATTCAACAATAGTCCCTCCTCATCTGCCACATTTCCACAGCAACTTCCTTGGCATATGGAAGGGAATAATGTAGAGACACACATTTCCATGCAAGAGTCTACCATGTGTTTGCAGACACATTGCTCCACACTTTACAGCTGTTACCGTGTAGTAGAAAAACAGGATTAATCTTCCCTGTATTATGTAAAGCAGCTCTTGGGGCAGGCTGTATGTTTTTTTTATATCCGCATTTATGTACCGTATTTTTCGCTCCATAAGACGCACCTTTCCATAAGAGGCACCAACTTTTTAGAACAGGAAAATATAATGTTTTCTTCGCTCCATAAGACACACAGACTTTCCATCCCCCTGTTTTGTGGGGAAAAAGTGTGTCTTATGGTGCAAAAAATACGGTATGTTGCTCAGACTATATGGTATGATAGGCATACGGCAAAGATATGCTGATGAGCTGCAGGCTCTTCTGGATGAACCAATGCCTTGGATTTATTCCATTCGGGCTTCAGGCTGTGCCATGGCATGGAAACGGTATTGGTCACCCTGTTTGATAACCTACGTGTGGGGAAAAAGTGTGTCTTATGGTGCAAAAAATACGGTATGTTGCTCAGACTATATGGTATGATAGGCATACGGCAAAGATATGCTGATGAGCTGCAGGCTCTTCTGGATGAACCAATGCCTTGGATTTATTCCATTCGGGCTTCAGGCTGTGCCATGGCATGGAAACGGTATTGGTCACCCTGTTTGATAACCTACGGAGGGAGGCCGACAGGCGCAAAATGTCTCTGCTGGTCCTCCTCAATATCTCAGCCACCTTTGATACTGTTGACCACAGTATCCTCCTTGGGAGGCTCTCTGAGTTGGGAATTGGTGGCCTGGCTCTTGCCTGGCTCCATTCCTTCTTGGAGGACCGTCCCCACAGAGTGCAGATTGGAGAGAGTTTCTCGGCCCCGTGGAGCCTCAATTGTGGGGTTCCACAGGGCTCGATTATCTCGCCAGTGCTATTTAACATCTATATGAGGCCGCTGGGAGGGGTCATCAGGGGATGTGGGGCTTTGTGTCATTAGTTGATGATTCTCAGCTCTACATCTCCTTTTCCCCAACAACAGTGGATGTTGTTTCATCCCTTGAGCGCTGCCTGGGGGCTGTTCAGCAATGGATGCACGTGAACGGACTGAGGCTGAATCCAGGCAAGACAGAAGTCCTTCAGGTGGGTGTCCCAGACATCAGTGATCTGGGAAACTTCCTGTCTTTTGGGGGTTGTGTGTGTGCGACTCTTACCAGCAAGAGTGAGGTTCGCAACTTGGGTGTACATCTGGACCTGGCGCTCACCATGGAGACCCAGGTGTCATCAGTGGTATGTTCTGCACATTTCCACCTTTGGCGGGTTGCCATGCTGTGTCCCTATCTTGATGTGGGGGAGCTCATCACTTTGGCCCATGTGCTCGTAGTCTCAAGATTGGACTAATGTGCTCTACGTGGGGCTGTCTTTGAGACTGACGTGGAAACTTCAGATGGTAGAGAATGTGGCGGCCAGACTTCTTACTGGGGTGAAAAACTACCATCATGTTTCCCCCATTCTGGCCGCCTTGCATTGGCTGCCTATTCGTTTCCAAAGTTCTTATGATTACATATAAAGCCCTAAGCAGTTTAGGACCTCGATATCTGGCAGAGCGCCTTCTCCTACCCAGTTCTGCCAGAGTCACTTGTTCCAGCCAGGCTGGGCATGTAAGGGGCCTAACACCGAGGGAGGTCCAGAAGGAAAGAACAAGGAACTGGGCCTTCTCAGCAGTGGCCCCTCGCCTTTGGAACAACTTGCCAGTGGAGATCCCCCTGGCTCCCTCTCTGGGTGTTTTCAGGAATAAACTTAAAACCTGGCTATTTGGGCAGGCTTTCCCTTCTGCCGCATCTTAATTTATTATACTTTTGTCACCTTGGAATTATAATATATGCTCATTGGTTTTATTATTTTTAAATCTGTAAACCACCCAGAGTAGACTTTTGGTTTAGCTGGGTGAGATAGAAATCCAATCAATCAATCAATCAATCAATAAACAAACAAACATCAGACGTTACTGGTTGTTGAGGGTTTTTCGGGCTCTTTGGCCGTGTTCTGACACGGCCAAAGAGCCCGAAAAACCCACAACAACCATTAGATCCTGGCTGTGAAAGCCTTTGCGAATACATCAGAAGTTACCTTTGGGGACTACAATACCCAGAATCTCCAGCTGCTAGCTGCAAAATTTTGGAAACTATAGTCCCCCAAAGTAACTCTTCCAAGCTCTGCCATATATACTCTTCTAGACTATCACTCCTGTTTGACAAAGTGACACTTACATCACTGAGGTCATTCATAATGAGGAAAGCATAGCCTTCCATTTCTCGTGCTATGATTATTAAGAAGGAAACTGTGTATAGGTTGATTTGTCTCTCTTACCTTGTCTACCACCAGTGAAATGGGACCATCATTCTGGTCCAGGCTTTGTCTTTTAGCTGATGGTCCCTCTTCAGCTGAAGCTACAATTGAAGGCACACACTTCGGGGAACTCCGCTTCCGACAGTTCATGTTAGATTCAGCAGTTTCTGGCTGGCAAGGTGAAACCTGGCCCCTTCCATGGTCTCCACTTCCCTTGTCCGAAAAGGTTTCCTTTGAGAGGTTTTCCTGAAGACTGCCACACAGCATATAAAGTGACGGAGATAGCAAATAAACAAAAGGTTGGTTAGGAAGCACAGAGTTTTTCCCAGTCTCGGTTTCAGAAGCCGACAGAGCAGGAGATGACAGACTCTGGTCATTTATTCCATTTGGCAAAGACTGTCCTGATGTGTTTGAACCGGTACTGGAGGAGGTGGGAGGGAAGGCATTAAGACAGTATTCTAAGTCTCCAGGAAATGGAAGAACAGAGAAGGGAGGAATGATGCCCGGGTTTCTTGCTGCTTCCAAAGCTTTACTATAGAAATGAAAGAGCACAGTTAGACTAGAGCCATGGCATATCCAAGTATTATAAACCCACTTATAGCTCAACTAAAACACCTTGAGATTTGGATGCATCTGTACAATCAAAATGCCCAGATTTGGATACATTTATTTTTATCTTTATAAAATGACTTTCATCCAGAGGTGAACTGGGCAGTGAACAATAAATAAAAAAAGAATAAAATACAACTGCAAAACAACAATAAACAGCAACAACCTGTATAAAACAGATTACACAGCTTAAAATGCCTGGGCAAAGAGGTTCTGAGCTGGTGTTGAAAAATATTGTGGGGTTAGCACCAGTCAGATCTCTTATGACGGCAGAGGCATGCTTTTAAGCATTTGGGTCCCACACAATTAAAGGATTTCTAAGTACATAGTGGCAGTTGGGGGCCAGAAGCCAATAGGTAACCAGCACACCTCTCTTAGCATCCGTGGGATAAGATCAAAACTAGCTATACCCATTAAAATCCTAGCAGTCGTCGTTAAGCCTAATTTTAATGCAGAGTAGTTTTTACACAGCATCACCTTTAAATCTCAACGTACCTTGTATCACCTTCTATTTTGTGGTAGCAAACAGATCCCAGATTAATCGTTTTGGAGCAATAATCATCTGAGAAATGAAAGAATAGCAGAAATTTCACTTAACTACCAACAGGAGAAAATAAAAACAAAAAAGTAGCGATGCCTTAAAAATTTAACAGGCTTACTTCAGAGTGAAACTCTGTACTCTCCCCATCCTCAGACACATGGATAGAAACTAACACTGTAAGTACCTAAGATACCATTGTTCCTGTTTTAACTTTTTGCTGTACATGCTCTAACAGGCTAGCCTGGGTATCTTGTTTGAAAGCAACATGTTAAAGTAAACTTTTGTACTGCATGAAGATCCAAAAAAAATTATTTTATTTTTATTTCATTTATTTGATTTATATCCCGCCTATCTGGACCAAAAGCCCACTCTAGGCAGCTTCCAATACAAGATAAAACAATAAAATACAAAATATACATAATCACTCAATAGCAGTTATAATAAATAAAATAGAAAAGAGTTAAAAGAAAAGTCAGGAATTAGCTGAAGGGAAGGCCTGGATGTACAACCAAGTTTTTAATTGGGTTTTAAAGTTGCCCAGCGTAGGGGCCACGCGAATCTCCGAAGGGAGGTTATTCCAAAGGCGAGGAGCCACCGCCGAGAAGGCCCGGTTTCGTGTCTTCTCCTTCCGGGCCTCTCTCGGTGTCAGGCTCCTCAGCCTCACCTCGACTCGCACGGATGATCTGGGTAGACCTTGTTGGGAGCAGGCGTTCCGCCAAATATCGAGGTCCTAAACCGTTTAGGGCCTTGTAGGTAAGCATTAGAACTTTGGAGTCGATGCGGAAACGAATGGGCAGCCAATGCAGTGTGGCCAGAGTTGGAGAAATGTGTTGGTACTTTCTCACTCCGGTGAGGAATCTGGCCGCCGCATTCTGCACCACTTGAAGTTTCCGCATCAGCCTCAAAGGCAGCCCCACGTAGAGCGCT